TCCACTTCTGCTCTGATCCTCTGGCTCCGATCCTGCTCCGTCCCCGACTTCGCTTCTTGGATTTCCCCTACGGACTATTCTCTATTTCATATCTCCTGGTAATGACCTCCTTCCTCCTGACCTAGCCTCTGACTCTCTTCCCTTTTAATAAAACTCGATAAACTGTCATTCTGTGTTGGGTGTTTTTACGGATCCGCCAGTCAGCTCGTGACACCAACACATTATTGAAAACTGGTCTGAGTCCAGATGGACCCTGTTCCAGAGTGAAGGTGCATCAGGGTAAAAAGAGAGGCAGATGAAATGATGCACCCATCATGCCTAGTGTCTACTGTACAAGCCTGTGGGGGCAGTGCTATGATCTGGGGTTGCTGCAGTTGGTCAGGTGACGTCTAGGTTCAGCAACAGGATGGTGATATACTGAATGACCAGGTTATTCCATCTTCCCTGATGGCACGGGTATATTCGAAGATGACAATGTCAGGACTCATCGGGCTCAAATAGTAAAGAGTGGTTCAGGGATGTAACGGAATGAAATGACTGTTCTCCACCAAAAGTCATTTTCCCCCTCTCCTCTGACACAGAACTAGTCTGCATGAGATGTGGCCTCAAGGTCTCATGCATTTGCTATAAACTGCTTCTTTCCAGCTCAAGAGAAGAATGAAGAATGGACTCTCTCCATTCTATAAATCTAAGAACTCTTTATCTTTTATGAAGCTAATCAAACAAAGTGTTAGTCAATAATAAGATGTGACCAATCTGTGAAATCAAAATATTAATTACCTTATTATAATCCTATAGAATATAAAAGTAATATGACTTTAAATGTTTCCACTAGGACTGATCTCACGTAGCATTAAAAGACATGACACATTACTTTCACTGATCCAATCAGAATCTGCCAGATCTGACGGAGGCGTGGTTTTGGTGGTGCTTGGTAAATCTGTCATCTTTTCATTCGACCATAAACCAAAACATCCGAAGTATAAAACTATGCCCACGTCATCGTTAACGCCAGTTCAAAGCGTTCTAGAGAAGTGTCGGAGTGGCCAATCCGTAACTTTCCTCTTCAGCCAAAAGAACCAACGACAAGCTGGATAAAATCTGTTGATGTTCCAACTGCTGCAACGGTTCCTTTCAGAATAAAAGCTGAACCATCACGACCCAGGTTTGGGTCTCACTAGGCGCCAACAAAACCGTTGTGACCCAGAAGTATCTCAAAGACTGGTCTGGTCGGCAACCGCTGATTTTCCTCCCGGCTTCGGTTCCAGCGAAGGTCCAGCTGGACCTCGACATTCCTGATCTAACTGGGACTTCCACAAGGGTATGTAGGCCGACGGAATGGCATTGAATGTGTTTATGAATCTCCTAACCAAAGCTTATTGCGAAGACATCACCTTCATTTCCCATCAGAACTAATCGCTTCTTCGGATTTGCTGGTTCTGAGCAACATTCCACCATTCTCCTTCTCATTCACTTTAGTTACACCATACATTCAGTGTTTAAGTTAGTCTAGTTTTAATTTGTTTAGTAATAAATCTTTAAACTTTAAACTTGACTCTCTCTCTTCTGTTGTCTCTGAATTAATACGAAGCTGTTAAATAATCCCTGCAATAAAAAGTTCCAATCTTTTGGTTAACAGTACCCACAGATCCATAAGGTTGATTTCATATTTCCTATGGAATCCTATGTCTTAGGGCTTATTAAATAACATGTAATTTAAATCATTACAGGGAGCATGAGACATCATTTTCACACATGGATTGGCCACCACAGAGACCAGACCTGAACCGTACTGAGAATCTTTGGGAATTGCTAGAAAAGGCTTTGTGCAACGGTCAGACTCTACCATCATCAATGCAAGATCTCAATGAAAAATTAATACAACATTGTGTGACTGGCTGAGCGTCCTGTCACTGTATTCCAACTGCCATGTGCCCTGGCTACTTGGCCATGGGGATATCCCTTTGGCTGACTGGTTAGTGTGTGTGACTCTCCTTCAGGAGTCTGGGGAATCAAATCCTGCCTGGGCCTTCGTTTTTCCACCTTGCCACAATTAGATGGAAAAACATCTTGTGACATTACAGGCGCTTATTGAAACAATGCCACAGTGAATGCATTTGCTGGGTTCCTTATATAGGAAACATTTTTCTGATTGGCTTAATGAACTGACCTGTAATGGAATGTTTACTATGTGAAATCCCTTGAGACGACTCTTGTCGTGATTTGGCGCTATATAAATAAACTTGAATTGAATTGAATGTGTGCCATAATAAATGCTGAAGTTGGTCCAACAAAATATTATTGTGTTACCTGTGTTTTTGGTGGCAACTTTTTTTTTTTGGCACCAAATTCAAAGGCAGCAGACTTTTAGCGCCTCGTGATTTTTATCTTGAGAGGCGCTATAGAAATGATACTTTCTTCTTCTTCTTCTTCTACTAAATGTCATTCATAGAATACAGATTCCTTCCATTGCACCAGGTAAAAAGCATCCATTCAAAGGAACTTGGGCAGTTACTTTCATGTGACCTCCTTTCTGATCTCTCATCTACATAAAGAGAAGAAAGGATTTGTTGGTTGAGGCCAATGTAGAAATGATGTAAGCTGGTGTGCATTTAAAGGGATCATTAGATTAAGATGTCACTGTCACAAAGGCCCTGTGTTAAAGAGATGGAGGGCGAGGGGGTCAGGTAAGCCCAAAGATAATGGCTAAACAGCTGTGAATGGAGATATGAGGAGAGGTAGGCAGGTGGGAGATGGGACGACTGCGCCGAGGGGATGTTAATGTGGGAAACAAGGTTGTTCCCTCACAAGGAGTGAAAAGCAGTCCTCCTGTTGCAGAAGGTTATCAAGTTACAGGGTGAGAGGCTTGAAAAGAAGGCAACGCAGAAACTGGAAGGCTTGTTTTAATTAACTATATTAGCCACATAGCTCAGGAAATGAGTTAAATTACAGCATCTGGGAGATAAAACTGTGTTTGGAGGCAGGTCAGAATTTATCCGAGGTTTATCAAACATCTGATATATAGAGAAACACATTATATAAACCAGGGGATTTCAGTGATTCCATTCCTTTTGGACTACATCCTTGTCAAAGCTCAACACAAAACTATTTTGGTGCAAGGAGACATAGTGCTAACCACTGAGAAATCACCCCACCATCTCATAATCCAATATAAATGGAAATGCAATCAAACTGAAGCTGAACGTGCTAAGACCTGTCAAGCCCCAACATTAAAAAGTGAATTGCTGGCCCAATACATTTTACTCCCACCGTAAATCTAGTCATGTAAAATCCAATCATAATCTAAGACTGTTTTGTTGTGTGTTGTATACTTGAGATCATATCAAACCATAAAGAGTTGAAAGGAGAAAGAAAAATGCAGTCAGTATTTGAAGCTGTAGATTTACTCCACTCAAGAGCACCAAATTGGCGTTTGCTGTGTAGTCACATTAACGTGGAAAACAAGATGTAATCCGGGCGCTCCAGGCAGAATTCAATCCCCTCTTTCAAACAAGCTAAACAAAATGTAACACCAAGTTTCCTTTCACATTGTGAATCACTAGTTCCATGCTAATTGTGACTGATAGAACCTCACTTTCCTTTTTTCAATTAAATTTGCATTTAACAAAGATAACTACTACTAGGTGCTTTTTGGTCTTTTCTTTCTCAGACTTTACAATTTTCCATGACAGTTACCTCTGCAATCCCAAAACAATTAGCAGAAACTGCTACCAAAGAGGTACTGGGTTTAAAAAATAAATTAAGTGTAAAGGTGCCTGATTCTTCTGCCAAAATGTCACCAATTGTCTGACTGAAAACAAATCCCTTACTGTTTTCTGGCCTGTGTGAGGTTAGTCTCCTCAAACACTTTCAATTCCTCCCTCGCGGACAGGTTTCCATATTACCGGCCTTTAATTATTCATGCATGCCCGCTTGGTGCCTGACTCGGAAAATAAAGCAAACCCTTTGGACTACTGATACAGAATAACACTGTGACCTCTCTGCTGAACCCTGCTGCATTGTTCACTTGTCTCCTGCTGCTGGTAAGAGAAACCGGAGCCTCGGTGGAGATTATTTCTTTACATGTAAAACCTAGTCTCTCGCACGGCACACATCTATAAACAGCTATCAGAGTGTGTGCAGCGCTTGAACAGCTAGGTACAGTCTCTTTTGTAATGTGCAAAATGATATCTCTGCAGTGTAACCATCTCTGTTACAGGAAGGGGGGGATTGTCTTACCCTACGGATTTGCTTGAAAGAACACGAGAGCTTGGTTCGATAGCTATGAATCTGAAAAGTGTGTGGTGATGAAAAGTGGAGAAATGTCAATGTAGCTGTTAACCAGCTGGTAAGTATCATAAATGTTCATCCTTCACCTAGAAGTACTTCATACGAGTAGTGGTGATTTCTCTCTTGTACAGCCAACCAGCCAACATCCACTCCCTCTTGAGGTTTCTAGTTAGATGTTTGTGTGAAATGATAACTTTCATATAACCTGCCACAATGCAGGCAATGTTTTTGTCTTTAATAGCCAAATGTTTCATATGGACATAGAACTCAGAGTAATGATTGGATGTATGTCTACAACTCAGTTCTAGTTAACTAGATTTATTATGACAACAGTTGCTCAGGATGGTGACTTGATCTTGTTTACTAGATCGGATTCCCAAACTCTGCCATTAAGACAACTTTTTGCCTGCCTGTTGGCAAAATATTCCCATTAGAATTTACTTAAAGTCACAAAAACACTCCAAGCGCCATCAGATCACAGAAAATCATGCAATATTACCTTTTTCTGTTCACGATTTGACAGACAGCTTGAAAAAAAATTGCTAGGCCTTTAATCGCTGCTTGTTCATTTGTGCCAGATCACAAGTGCTTTGTTATTAATTTCCTCACAAAGACAAACAGATCTAAGTCATACAGACTCTTAATAAATGCACCGTTTTTGCCCCGAATTTTATTCAGGATTCAAGTTCATTTCAAAAGACACACAAAACTTCTACATTAGTTGTTTAATTTTATGCATCCATTTAACAAATCTTCCAAACCTATACAGTAAATATGTCCTTGACAAAATAAACAGGAGCACATGTCAGTTCTTTTATTTTTGCATCATGTGCAAGCCCTTTGAGGAGTTCTAGAAGTCCTGATGATGTGGCCATTAAAAATTCAGGAAGCACTCTGGATTGTTGCAGAAAGTGGAGGGATGAGGAAAAAGCACACTGCTGGATACAGAAACAAAGAAAAACAATACACGGTTTAGTTTTTACAGTCTAAACATTAGTGTTCATTGTACTTCTGATCACTCTCCAAAATAAAATGAGAAACAAATAAAGCATTCTGAGAACAATTCTTGATGCGCAATTACAACCGAAAACATAATTTGTCATTTATTTACCTGCCATAGTAGACTCAGGCCCATCAATCACGCGCCCTGGGTGGCTGGTAATACTGCTGCGTGGGCCTTGTGCGTCTCGGTTGTCCATCACCCCCACGGCGAAACTCGAGTGAACTGTCATAGTAACCGTCATCTTCCTCCTGCCACCGTAGATTTGATATGAATGTGATGATGCAATCAGACAAGGCGCTGTTCATATTTGATCAACTTCCCACACCTCACCAGGTTTACTGGCTACTCAGCATTCTGATATTAATATTGAATGAACGATAAAATACAGAAGACGTTTCTTTCTGGTTACCATCATGTCAGCGGGAAGGGGTTTGATGTTGTGCAGCAGGACCTCTTCACAGTTTCCATAATCACTAAATACAACCACAGCTGTAGAGCCAGACGGGTGCACAGCGTCTATGCTGGCATGATAGAACTATGCACAATCAAATGGAAACAAACAAGAGAGAATTGTAATGCTTCCAAATGTAAAAGTAGATGTTTATGCAAATTCATTAATAAAACTCAGCTCAAAACACACACAACCCACCTTGTTGTCCTCCCAGTACAGAGCCAGGCATTGATCTCCAGGTTTCCAGGTGTGTTTGGTGACATAACTCCTCTCCGGTCCTCGAGGACCTGGACCCTTGCCTTGTCCCGGCCTTCTCCTTGGCCCAGGGTTGTTGGGAGCATTCTTCTTGGGTTGCTGCTCCCTGTTTGGAGGACAGGATGGGTTTGATGGGTTTGAGGGCTTAATTGGCCCAGTCCTTTTATATTCCAAATCCCCGTTAAGGAAAAGAGAATGATCCCCTGCCATCGTCCGAGAGCCCTGTGGTAATCCCACTTCCTGGGAAGTTCCTGTGGTTCCTACTTTTGAGTTGAAATTTGACGGCCAAGTTTGTTTGTCGAAGTGATCCGAGTTTGGCTGCTCAGACCTCCCCTTCCTCTTGTTGAAGTCTTCATTTCTGTCTGTTCGTTTAAAACTTCCTCTTCCATCTTCCTCACTTCCTCCAGGAGTACTCGATTTAAACGGGGGGGTGTTATCTTTCGCCCCTCTCTTGTTAAACGGCCCAGACACATTTCCACCCCCGTTTCCATTTCGGGATCGCTGGTGGTAAGATCCACCAAACTCCATCTGCAGCGGAGTTTCCTTTGGATGTGTGAAAGAAGACCCCGTGGAAGACGGAACAATCTGTTCAGCTCTCGTCTCTCGCCTGTCGTTTTGCACTCGGTCTGACCGCGACCATTTCTCCTGGCCCTTCCACTGCTGGGCTTGAGCGGGTGTTTGAGAGGTTGTACAGTTAGGAGCTGGCTCCTGGCCAGGCTTGGGAAAATCCGTGTCCTTGTGAAAGCGAGGCGGTCTGTCTGTCCTTTGTTGCCTGTGGTCACTTTGAAAGAACTTGGTTTGTGATGAGTCTTTGGTGTGATAGTTGAAGACATTAGCTCTGTTCTCATGGTGTCTTTGTGGGGGCTGACCCTTTGGCTCTGGAAAAAAATAAATAAATCAATCAATAACCGACCAGTGGAATAAAACCCAGAATTAAAGAACGGTTTAAAAAACACAACTTGAATCTGCTTTTAAGTAAAAAAAGCACTTTAGTTCACCCACCATCAGTGGAGAGACCTCCCATTTTGGACTCAAGAAAGTCGAATAGCGTGCTTGGTCCAGACGGTCTTCCTCCTGCTCCCTCTTCTTCATCTTCATTTCTGGGCCTGCCTCTTCCCCTTCCTCTGGCTGCAGAAAACAACAAAACAACCCCTTTAAGCCAAGTTAGGAGCAGTTTGATCAAAGAGTTGGAAAGTGAACATACACCGGCCCTTGAACTCTACATCAAACATATGTTCTTCTGTGTGTAATTATGGTATGTGAACTCTTTACACGTTTTCAAATTTCTGCATTGTATGAAATATTTAACAAAAACTCATTAAATACATAAATAGAACCAAAGTAATCGAATGGGACAGAAGGTTATGCCTCAGTCCTGCTGTGTTGCAAATAATTGGGAGACAACAACAAAAAAAAAAACAATCGTGAAAAAAATTGGAAGCACACAGATTTAGTAATTCTCACACTTTGATGTGCTCTGAATGTTGTTTTTATTTCCAATCAGACAACTTGCTTTCATAGGTCACAAAAACCCTTTTCACAACTGACGAACTTGTTGCTTGTTACAACTCCGAAGGTTTTAAGAGAAAATCTCTCTGAAAGCAAATATTTTTGACACATTCAAAATATTTAGGAGCAAAGCTTTAAAGCTCACGACAACAAATACAGAGGACATACTTTAGGAAGTGCTGTTTGTAATTGTTTTCACCAAGCCAATGTGATGTAGGCTTTGGAATGTAATGAGAAAAATACAAGTGTGGAAAGCATTAAACTATTCATATTATTTAAAGATGCATGAAGTAAGAATGGCATCATGTGGTCAAATTTGGGTACTGCAGTCCATGTTTCACAACAAACAAGTCCGCTCTGAGCAACTGTTGACAGTTATGGATCAGCACCAAAAGATTGTGGATGACCAACAAAGACAGGTCATACACAGCAAGTTGATTTGTAGATAAATACATTTCAATATTTCATTGTTATATTGAGTTGATGGTAAGTGAAAAAAGTAGCCTGAGATCATTTTAGAGCCGACTGTTAGTACTGTTAGCATTGTTAGCTCAACAATAGCTTGTAGCCTACTTTACCTGATATTAGAGTAAAACAAAAAAATACTGTGGCTTCTCAGGGGTAGGGCTGGGCGATATGGCAAAAATAGAATATCACGATTTTTCCAATATTTTATCACGATTTCGATTTTATCACGATTTTTTCCATGAATAGCATAACTTCAATTGCATATTAAAGAAGAGAAACATTGAATAAACAAACATTTATTCATATTAGGGATAATCAACACAGTGCTAACACACTTATATTTTGAACTCACACCAGAGATGATAAAAGCCCTGAGAGAAACTATTACAAAAATCAGTTTTTCTCGTTTTTCAAGTAACTTAACATAAATTAAAATCATAAACATATTTAAAGTGCAAACATGTCAATTGCAAACGTATTGTGCAAACATTAACTTGTTCAAAATACTATGTAGCTCCCAGTTGCTCATGTAGTGGATAGTTAAGCTCAAATACAGCTCTGATGTGCGGCTGGACCAGAGATCACTTGTGGTAGCAAATAACTGCTCATTCTGAATATTTTCTGCAACTCTCACTTTGCATTGAGCGTACATGCGTGGAATGGCGGTGTTCGAAAAATACTTGCAGCTGGAAAACTCGTAGAGCGAATCCAATGTTATTATGATTTTCTTAAATCCCGCTCCTACTGTTCGCACGGGACACAAATCTTTAACCAAGTGGTACGTCACTGCATCTGTCACGCTGTTCCATCGTCTGCTGTCTCCGTCGTAAGGAGTGAGTTTGTGAGTGTCTGTTAACGTTTGCTGCCTGGAAGAAGCACTAGCCGCTGCAGCCGCAGGCTTTTTAGCTTTAGCTGCCAGCTGGCTCTCATTGTATTGTTTGGGATGCTTTGTTTTCAAGTGATTAAACAAGTTTGTGGTGTTGCCATCACTTGCCTTGACGCTCTCCTTGCAAATGACGTTTCGCTGCTCTTTGTCATCTGGTGAAAAACCAAACCAGTTCCATATAATGGACGAGGCGTTCCTCTTCGGAACGAAAACCTCGTTGTCGCTCTCAGCCGCAGCCATGTTTGTTCACACACAGGTGAAAACAAGCGGGGCACTAAATAATTACCATGACTCACTCTGATTGGTTAAAGGTCAAACAAAGGTGTGTCATTCGCTGGAGGTAAGTTCCCTTTTCATTCAGAGGCAGAATTTCAACAGCAGAGCTGTGAATCGTGATAAAAAGCTCTCTCAAAAATGACAGACCGTCAGATGTGTAGATCGTAAAACGGTCTAAAATCGTCATATCGCCCAGCCCTACTCAGGGGTACAAGAAATAACTTCTGGGTCGCTCCTTTTACTGGCTTTCTTGTTTGTCCAAAACATTGCTGTTTTTTTTTTTGCCATCTAGTGTTGAATTACAAATGCCTTGGCAACCCTTTGGGCTCCAGTGAGATTGACTCTGGAACCAGGAAGTACTGAGTCAGTACAGAGCCAAAAAAAAAAACAATGACCACATCCCTCTTTGGCCTTTTTAAAATTAGAAAAACTGGCAACCCCCCAGATGGCTGAGCATGAAATCTGTTTCAACATGACTGAGACATTAGACTGTTAAAGTTTATTTCAATGCAAAATTCTTACTTAATGAACCTTTAATGTAACCAGATTATGCTATTCTTGCTCAGAGACGTACTACCGGCTGACTCTTAAAGAGGAGTGGGGAACGTCAGTAACACCGGTTAAAGTACATACAGGTCTGAATAAACAGAATAAAACCAGCAGCTCAGCCATTGTGGGGCTTTAATTAGGCTGCTGATGGTTGTGGACCTCCACATCACTACCCAACCTGTTCCTTAACGCTGCCAACTTTGAAGATACAGAAAAGATTGTGGGACACACTGTTTTATCTCTCTCTCTCTGTGTGTGTGTGTGTGTGTGTGTGTGTGTGTGTGTGTGTGTGTGTGTGTGTGTGTGTGTGTGTGTGTGTGTGTGTGTGTGTGTGTGTGTGTGTGTGTGTGTGTGTGTGTGTGTGTGTGTGTACCTCTAGGTTGCAGCTTGTTAGATTCAGCTGCCGCTGAGCCAGGTCTGCTGCCAGCAGATCCAGTCAGTAGACTGTTTAGCGCCACTTCAAGGTTGTTATTATTATCCATCAGAGCTTGTCGAGCAGCTTCCCTGTTAAAGCCCATCTCCATGATGTCTCTCAGAGCACGTTCATCCACCTAGCAACCGGAGGAGATGAAAGGAAGAGAAAAAAGAAATGGTACACACTGCATGGAACTTGGGAGGGAAAGACATGTCACTTGCACCATAATGAGTTTCATAATAATGTCATTTAAACAACAAGTTAAGGCCCAGAGGGAAAAAGAAAGGTGAAAGCAAAACACATTCCCACTCCCAGTTCTCTCATTTTAGTGTTATTTTTTTCTGTGGATTTGAGTTTCAAACCATCTTTAACACATTCCTGAGCCAATCCGTCTGGCACCCTACTCCCTTCTATTTATGCGTTAAGTGCAAGGCTGGGTAATTTCCACTAGTCTGCAAGGGAACAACACAAAGCAAGACAAATTGGCTGCCACTTGATTGGAAAATTTGACCAGGCCTATGGTTCATTTACATTTCTTCAATATTACAATCAATGTCCCACTAAGCCTTTGAACCATGAAATAAGACTTTAATCCAAACCAAAGGAACTGAAAAGGAAACAAGACAAGTTACGGATTTAAAACTGCATTGTAGCTGTGAAAAATATGTTGTTTTATCTTGGAAACATCTTTTTTTCCCTTACAGGCTTAAACCCCTATTTGTCTTCTTACCAGCTCTCTGTAGTTTCCGTCTTGTCTGCTTTCTGATTTTTCACTCTTGTCGTCTCGTCTCCTCTGCTGGTAGGAGTCTTTGCTTCGAGAGAAGGACGTGGAACTAGATAAATTACTACCTGCATTTCCTCCGCCACCAAACGTGCGGGGGCCCTGAAGAGGGAAAAAATAAATTAAATAAAACAGCAACAGCAGCAGCAGGGCCAAACAAAGAGAAACTAGAAAAATTGCATTGAATGCTGATTGATTAGTTACCATGATTATGGTGCCTTTAAAGGTAGGGGTCACCCCCTAAAAATGCCATATTTAATGTTGACTATGTTTAAAAAATCTTAAAAATATCAATACTAAAAGTCGTAGTCAGCATGTCCTGAACAAGCTAAGTGCTTTGTTGACTCATTTGCGGAAATAGCTGGAAAAACTACAAGATGCACGGCGAAAAACGTACTCAAGAATCTTGATAAACTAGATAATGGGACAGCAGTAGCTCAGGAGGTAGAGCGGGTTGTCCAGTAATTGGAGGGTTGTAGGATCGATCCCAGCTACCGGCAGAGAATGCTGCCGTTGTGTCCTTGGGCAAGACACTTAACCCACCTTGCCTGCTGGTGGTGGTCAGAGGGACCAGTGGCATCTGTGCTCAAAGGCCTCGCCTCTGTCACTGTGCCCAGGGCAGCTGTGGCTACATTGTAGCTCATCCCCACCAGTGTGTGAATGTGTGTGTGAATGGGTGAATGCCTTGGGGGGTTTCAGGACTCTAGAAGGTGCTATATCAAATACAGGCCATTTACCATGACTACCTGTGTGTGAATGTATGAATGAGTCACTGTCGTGTAAAACGCTTTGGAGTCCTGATAAATGCACTTATCATTGCATTTCCTGCAGAAAAAATGATAAATGCTGTTTGAATGCTCATCGCTTGGTTACCATGAATATGGTGCCTTTGAAGTTGGGCTCCATCCACTTTGTTGCTATGACAGCCATGCCTTTAAATAAAGGCTCCATCCACTAAAAAGTCAATCTTAATGTTGAAAATCTTCAAAATAAAATTAAAATATCAAAACTAAAAGTCATTGCAGGAATGTCCTGAACAAGTTACGCAGGAATCTTGAAAAAATAATAGCTGAAGGGGAATACTAATGTTTGAATCCTTACAGCATTATAACAAATAACTAATCAGACAGTAAAGGTTTATAAAGAGTGTAATTACTGTTTTTATGTTTTAAATCTAAAGAATGATTCGAATGTCAAAGCCAGCTTAGGTTAAGATGAATTCCAAAATGTGGCGTGTGTTTTAAATGAAGTGGTTTGAAAACTCCAATCAAGGAAAGCAGCTGGTAAATGGGTAAAAATCAAATGTTTAACAAAGGGAAGCAAATGGAAACCTGAACATTATTGCCTGAATGTGGACATTATTAAGAGTAAATTACCTAGAACAAATGTAATACAGTCTAACAGAGTGTTTGTCTGAGGCATGTTTACATACTTCTTTAGTCTTGGCCACTTCAGCAATAGCTGCCGTCCGCTGCTTTTCAAATTCATCGTTCCCCTCAGCGGTTCTGACAACAGTTTGAGTTTGGAGAGTCTTCCTCTGGTCCAGATCCCTGCTGTCTACATCATCCTTCCTTGCACACTTCTGCATAAAAAGTAAGAACAGATCGTCCACAGTCAGTTCCTCCAGCAAAGAGTTGAACTTTTCAACTTTTTGTGGATTTTTACGAAAAATGTATTATTTTTGTATTTAAGTGGTCTTGAAAAGGTCTTAAAAAGTCTTGAATTTAACTTGATGAAACCTGGAGGAACCCTGTTAACAGCTTGGTCTACATGGTCAGTTATGCTGAAATACTGTAATATACAACAATCCAAAAGAAGCTTATTGTGCCCCAGACAAGCTGGTTCCCAAAGTCAGAGACTCTTGGTCAGCTCGCTTCCCACACCAAACCTTCCGTCAGGAATCTTGGCGTGACCTTTGACCCAGCTCTCACTCTGGATTTTCATGTCAGTTCTCTTGTTCGCTCTTCCTTCTTCCATCTCAGGAACATTGCTAAGCTGAGTCCCATTCTGTCCCGCTCTGAACTTGAGACAGTTCTCCACACCTTCATCTCCTCATGCTTAGACTACTGTAACTCTCTTTTCATGTGTCTGAGCAGAACCTCCCTGAACCGTCTGCAGGTGGTTCAGAATGTCTGTGCTCGGCTTCTGACCAAGTCCTCCAAACACACCCACATCACCCCGCTTCTCCTCCAGCTTCACTGGCTGCCAGTCAACTTCAGGGTTCATTTCAAGATCCTGGTTCTGGTCTATAGGGCCTTACATGGACAAGCACCATCTTACATTGGTGATCTTCTTAGTCCCTACACCCCCAGCAGGTCCCAGGCTAAAGACCAAAGGTGACAGATCATTTGCTGCTGTGGCCCCCAGACTCTGGAACTCTCTCCCCCTGAGCCTGAGATCAGTGGACTCAGTGGTCTCCTTCAAAAAGCAGCTGAAGACTCACTTGTTCAAGCTGGTTTTTGTATGACCTTCTTCACCACTCTCTCTTTATTCTGCTCTCCCCACCTATTCCACCTTCCTCAGGATCCACTGATTTCCCTCGTTCCTATTCACTCTCTCTTTCTTAACATTTTTTCTTTTAAATCCCAATTGCCTATTTTTGCTCATTTTAAATATATTTTTAAAGATTTTCTAAATGCTTTTTAATATTTTTACTTTTTTTTTGTTTTTGTGAAGCGCCTCGTGATTTTTATCTTGAGAGGCGCTATAGAAATGATATTTTCTTCTTATTATTATTATTATTGAAGCCCAAGCTTAGAAAGAAAGTAAACGCAGCAGAATAGAAAATGATGAAGAATGTGGACTGAAAATTCAATCAATCTCTACAAAAGCCCAAAAATTCAAAAGTTCAAGACTCGAGCTGGTGTGAATGCAGGCCATTGGGAGTATTGAAAATCAGAATCTACAAAAGTAAAAGTGATGGTTTTAGCTTCCTCAAGATTCATTTACACAAAATGTTTTTTCTGTCTAAATTTACAAGGAGTGGTTGTCTTTTCAAATTTAAAACTGCATAAACCAAACCTATGATTTGAACAATACCAACCGGTTCCAGCAGGGTTTTCCCTACATCCAAATTTCGTGTCGCGGCCGCCTCCAGCTAATTTAGTGCCGCCCCAGCCTGATTTCACTCTGCCCCAGCTATATGGATGTCATTTTAAATGCAGTTACAGCGTTGCGCCACTTTCGGGGCGCTGTATCAGCAGCGGTGCACCGAAAAGCTCTAAAACCGCTGCAGACAAAGATCAAAAATTGCTTTTCTCGCTAGTTAACATATCTATGGTTGGTGCTATTGACGTCCTGATTTTCCCCCAGGCTCTTCCATATCAGAGCAGGGCTGTGCAGTGAGACAAAAAAAAAACTGTGCGTGGCTGTCTGTTTTTAAACGTAGCACTGGTGCAACATCTTTGAATTACCATTTCCCCCAGAACTTTATTGAACAAAAGTAAGTTACGTGTAAGAAAAACGCTTTTTACTGGCGCACAGTGTGGTCATCTTAGCCTGGCAAGCCAGACTAAATAAATGTATTATTTACTCTGGCCACGCTCCATTGACGGCTCTCGGTTGTGGGGCGGGTTCTACCGTTGTCTTTCAAATGATCTCCGCATTCCACTGGACAATGAATGTGACATACTCTTGTTTCACTCTGTTGCATCATCCCACCCACCAGGCATATAGAGTGCCCTGATTGGCCCACTAAGCGGATAAAGCTCTGTGATTTGTTCACTAAGCAGATAGAGCACTATGATTGGCCCACCATTATGGACCAGTCACAGCTCTTTATGTGTTTGAAACCCCTCTAGAGAGTTGTGATTGGCTAGCCAGAGTCCTGGTAGGAGCTGTGGAGGTTCCAATGGAGCGTGCCTAGACCAAACTTTGCAAAGCAAGAATTTGGTCTAGTTCAATTCAATTCAAGTTTATTTATATAGCGCCAAATCACGACAAGAGTCGTCTCAAGGCACTTCACATAATAAACATTCCAATTCACAGTTCATTAAGCCAATCAGAAATAATGTTTCCTATATAAGGAACCCAGCAAATTGCATCAAGTCACTGACTAGTGTCAGTGACTATACAGCAATCCTCATACTAAGCAATGTAGTTCACTAGGCTATGGTCATCTGGGTGTAGTGGAGGAAAATAATGGGCCATTCCCATCTGTACCGTGTCGGCCCGGGCCGGGTAGCGTAGGTTGTTTACATATCTGGGTGGCCTGGTATTTTTCCGGGCCAACCAAGGCTCATTCTCAGCCCTCTTCTCGAGGGGGTCTGCTTCAGGCCGACCAGGGCCAACACACCCACTGCTGACAGCAAATTCACACCTTCCATTAGAGCAAGCCTCTGATTGGTGGGTAGAATCAGCCCACATGGGCTTAAGACAAGGATGTGTGGAATCAACCGGACCAGGCTGGGGCCGACTGGGGCTACCCGGCCCGGGCCGACCCAGTACAGATGGGAATGGCCCATAAAAGAACCAGCAAAGGCAGAACCGGTTCAAAGTTTGGGATCAAAAGTGCAGCTACACGCAGATTGACTAATGCTAAAGCTAACGGGTCTTGGTCTCATGATCAAGTGGCGCACAGAAAAAAATATGATGATGGTAAAACTAAGAAAGACTAAACTCTACAAGCAGATGAAAAGTCCCAACCATCCTGTTTATTCTGCATCCTGCAGCGCTACGGATCAGAACCGCTGCAGATACGAGTCACATTACTGCTGGCGCAGGATGTACGGCAAGCCGTTGTAGTATATAATTTACAAACGCTTCTATCTTTGAACAGAATTTGAACTGGATTATTGCCAACCCGTACATAATAGACATGCCACCATTACATAGTTAGCAGCAGAAATTAAATGTTATTACCATTTCCTATACAAATGCATGCTAATGAAATGTAATATATTTTACTGGATATATCTGTGTTATTTAGACTAAGATGAGTGTTATTAATACAAACCTAAAAAGTTACTGAAATGTAGGTCAACCATTTTTAAATATTTTTAACTATAAATATCAGATGGGAAAAGGGAACTAAACACTAATCTAATGCATATTATTGAGCCTTTTATAATATTTTGCCTTTAAAAAAGTGAGGCAGTTGAATGCACAGAGTATGCATGTGCTGGCGCATGGCCAGGATGGTATCATCTCTGCCTCAATTTGAGCCAGGAAAAACCCTGGATAACCCAAGCCAGAACATTAGAACCACTGACAGGGTCAAACAAACTCCGTCTAGTGAAACACTTTTTTCTGAAACTGCTAGGATCCCAAAGTACTTTTGTGTGGATTTCATGACAAGTTTTCATGGCAAAATAAGGATCTATTCAAATGTAGGCAGCCAGTGATAAAGTTGGCTTAAATATGGAGCAGCAGTAGCTCAGGAGGTGGCGCACGTTGTCCAGTAACTGGGGGGTTGCAGGTTCAATCCCGGCTCCCAGCAGAGAATTCTGCTGTTGTGTCCTTGGGCAAGACACTTAACCTGCCTTGCCTGCTGGTGGTGGTCGCAGGGACCGGTGGTGTCAGTGCTCGGCTGGCCTCGCCTGTGTCAGTGCACCCCAGGGCAGCTGTGGCTACACTGTAGCTCATCATCATCAGTGTATGAATGTGTGTGTGAGTGGCTGAAAGACTGATTGTGTTGTGAAGCGTCTTGGGGGGTTGTAGAATCCTAAGGTGGTGCTAGACAAATATAACTTACCATTTAGAATAACTGTCCCTGAAGACTTGTCCATCCTTGCAAATATATGAAATACTTTATACTCTAATCTAATACAATTTTACACCAGGTTTGGACCCACTTGCTCAGAAAGATTAGAGCTTTACTGATAAAAGGAAACAATCCAGGAAGTGTCATGTCTACTGAGGTTTTGTTTATACTCGACAAATTTTCACTACGAGGTGCTAGAATTTGAATTTCCTCTCACCTGACCAAACGGCACAAAGGGCGGAGGTCCGCCTTCTGCTCCAATGTTACTCCTGCTGTGTTTGGCCAGACTCTGCAGGTTGAAGGACAAAAGGAACTTAAAACCTGGTAGTAGCAGCTCTTATAAAACTAGATCCATTGCAATGGTTCTGATTTCTTATTAAAAAAATGTTTTTTTAATTTTTATTACCAAGGTAATCATGGACCCTCACCCTTTGCAGCTGCCATTTCTCCACCATGTGGTCGACTTCTCCTCCAAGGATGCAGATGTTCGAGTCATCAAGCAGCAAAAGACCATTTTTTACCTGGATTGTACCATGAAGCTTTACCTTTGTTCCAGGAGGTGTGTTTAGACTGCAAAACAAAAACAATGATGTATAAAATAAACTGTTTTCCAGCCTGCTTGCTCACATTTTAAGAGTATAAAACATTATAAATGTCTAAACCAAGCTTTACCCACAGCACTCTCTAAATGACATGGAGCAGTGCCAGCAGATGGGTGGCAAAGCTATTAATAATCCCAGCTGCTCACCCATCCTCGTGGTAAATTAAAAGCGCCTCTATCTCATCAGGCCTGATAAGGCCTCTGCCTCTCTCATTAGGAAAGCACAGGGACTTAGAGGGATTTCCAGCTACTGATGCTGGAAGCCATAGTAACAATTAGGGATTTCACTCCAAACCTCTGGGATGGATGGCGCGCTCGTGCCGCCGACAACCCAGCAAAAAGGAACAAACTATCCTTGATTCAATCACACACAAACACACTATTCAACCTCAATCGATGCTACTTAATGCTTAATTGTCCCCTTTTTATATCACTGCCTTACATAGTGAACAGTCTTGTAATCCATCTCATCCTTCCTTGCCACCCACTTATGTTCTCACTCACACCAAAGCCAACACGTCCATCAGAAACACTAACTACTGCTGTTGGCTGCCAGAGAGTGTGTGCGCCGCTCATAAAGAGGGGATCTGTTCTGTTCTCTACTCTCCCCCCATCAGGAAGGAAAGGCCCATTTTCTGGCCTCTCCACCTGTACAGACTGGTCCGTCACCATGGCAGCAATCACCAAGGCCACCGTTGCTTGGACGCAGAAGTAATTAAGGCTGCAAGTCGTTAAATCAGCTGCCACCAAGTGGAAATTGCAGATAAAGGCAAAAATTCAGACATGTGGTGGGGTGAGAGTGTTGACAAGGAGGTGAAGGAGGAGCGTGTGTGCACAGAATCGTACATGTTAGCTTTGAATGGGTGACGATAGGGCCAAATGCATGCTGTTCTGCATTTAGACTGCTACAGAAAATGCTGTTTAGTTTATTTTTTATTTATTGTTTTCAAAACTTTACAGTTTTATAATTTATCCATAATTTCTGAACTGTGATATTTAGTCATTGTTGCATTTTTTTTCCCACTGTTGCTGGTATATTGGAGTACACGAGCACAAACACACGCACACACACACACACACACACATGCACGCACACACACAAAGGGGGAAAAAGTGGCACTTTTACCTAAGCAAATCTGACTAGCCAATATTAACGTACAAAACAATCACATTAAACTGCATCTGTTGGTTTGACCACCCCCCCCCCCCCCCGGCCCCCATACCTGATCTTGGACAGATGTTTATACTCTAATCCAACACAGGTGGTGTGCCCATCTGTCATCTGTAGGCGCAGCATTCGCGGTGCACCCTGGGACTCCTCGTGGTCTTTAGGAGCAGAGATGTTTCTCACCTTCTGCACCTGGAGGACGCATGGACCCTCCAACTGGAAGAGAACAAAGAAAATTGGTCTGAGAGGCAAATCTGCTGCAAAGCACTGAAGATAATAACAGATATGGAAATTAAATGGCTTTGAGACTTTTATTTTCAGCTTATAATAGAACTGGTTTGTTAATTCTTCCATTTGAATTTACATTGCTTTATTTTTATTTAAGAGCCTTTTAAGGAGAAGGGTCAATATTCAATGTTTTAAAAACTAAAACATTTTCTAAGTTTCACAAAAATTAAAAAAAAAAACCTTAAACACAATATTGTTGGTGTGTCTCCGCCATCTAGTGGCTTCCCTGAGAACTGCACCGCAGCTACTCATTTACAAGCATTTTCCAAACACTTTCTGACATAAAACAAGGGCAGTAGTGCTTCACCACTTAGCAGGAAACCTGTGAATTTCTGTTCCACTTACTTTCTCAGTTCTTCCACTGTTGATATCAGAAGGTAGAAATTTTCTCCCAATAGGCCTAAGATCATTCTGCAAGAAACACACATCATCGTAACAAAAACAGTTATTACACAAGTCATAGTAAGAGTAAAGCAGGAAAAAGGCTGATTATGAAGCACTGAAAGTTTAATAATTAACACGGCCCTTTTTGGTGAGCATCTAATGACAATGATTTAACAGATTTAGTTACAGACCTGTGCATCATACTGAGGCATGTTCTGACATTGGTTACAATAAAAAGAAGGCTCCTTCTAGGTACAATTTATCAACAATTAATAATAGAAAGATGTCAGGAATTTGGTTTGTTTTCACATTTAAATAATTACTTAAAACTCTTTAATTGCATATTCCGGTAAAACCAACCCCCATTTTATGGCCCTCTAAGCTCTGCCCTGAAGTTAAAACATGCCGAATGAATCAGGTGCACTGTGATGTGTCCAAGTGCCGTCTCAGATCTTTTGGCAGTGCTCCAGGCCAACCTGAAAAGGTCAAGGCTTCTGCTGTGAATGCAGCTCCTGTGTTCTGTACTCATCTGATACTGTGGGTCAGATAAGCCGCCTTTGTAATTTTCCTTTTGTGAAGTATTTAAAAAACTTGAGATCCTATGAACAATGATAGTGTCCTTTTATGTATTTATGCAGCTGCTGTTTTCGAGAACACACAGCTGTAATTTAACAATTGTGATGGTTGAATAATTTTATCCTTAAAAGTGTGGGACACTTTAATCAATACATTTACAGTGGTCTCTAGTAGGAATGAATGCCTTGCAAGTCGTACTCAGGGGAAGAAAAGCACAGATGCGCCTGTTTTGGGAACGAGCAGAATGCCACGTCAGAGGAGAGCTTAACACGGCAGGATTTGGAGTCTTGCTTCCTGATATTTGGATATGTCACTTCTGACTGGCTAACAACAATGCAACTCTACCACCAACTCTGCTTGCTCTGCAACGTTGATGTTTGATCTCCACAAATAACTCAAGCCTGAAGGAGTTCTACTGTGTGGTGGATTTACTAATGTGGTTAGCTTCTACTAGCCGAGATGTTCTCTGCTGGATGCTAACACCAACAACAGTCTCCCCCATCACAAGTCAACATGGGTGAGTCCATGAATGTTAAGTGACAGTGTGATATAGACCTGTTAGGATTTTCAAATCCTAGAGTTTCACCATCTAATTTCTACCAGAAGATAATGCAGGAGACAGGTGTAGGAGACTATATACATGTTCAGCCTGCATGAACACCTCAACAGGGACTGCTTATAATCAGAAATAACAAGTAAAGAGTAGGGATGAGCAAGTACACCACTATCTGTATCTGTATCTGTTCAATCATCTAAATTATCTGTATTTGGAGTGGGCGTGGCCTAACCTGGAAGTGTGTGCAGTTTAACCGGGAGTGGGTGTGGTTTACATCAATACATTATTTTAAGTCTGAAACTGATATGGATTGATCAGAAGTTGCTATGTGTATTGTTTATATAAACACTATTTACAGAGCAGCCTCAGAATTGAGATTACATATTTTTGATCACAATAGTAAAGAAACTATTACAGAACAAGTTTTTCAATAAAATCAGAACATTATTTATGAGCATTAATTGAGAGAGAGAGAGAGAGAGAGAGAGAGAGAGAGAGAGAGAGAGAGAGAGAGAGAGAGAGAGAGAGAAAAAATAAAACAAAAAAGCCCCGAGCAGAGCGGAGGCAGTGACCGACGCAGCACGAGCTGTTTTTCAGCTCTGTCTTGTCAAATGCACCATGTAAGTTACAAAAAAAAGTAACTTTAAATATTAAACTGAAAAAAGCGAGCTGAGGAAAACCTAGGGAGTACTGAAGAAATGTGAGCAACAGTGAAGCAAGCACAGAGAGATCTGTTACTGTCTGTGTGTGTGCGTGGATAAGCCGGACGCGGACTGAGCTCCCGACTGCAGAGTTTTGTGTGTAGGGAGGGGCGAGCGCTCTATGTGACTGGCCAATCACAGAGCGTGAAGGCAGTCAGATACCCAATGAGGATTTTCCTTCAGCACGATTACAGATATTTATGAGTTTTAGTCACTTCATGCTCGTATTCGTCAAAAATGCTTTATCCGCTCATCCCTAGTAGAGAGGGTTTATCAGTGTTCCACAACTTTAAAAGTTTCATTTTCATTCCAGATATTGTGTCAGGAAGGCATCAGACAAACAGACCAAAGAATGAATGAATGATGGAGAAATGCACCTGAAGCAACTGAAGATGATAGAATCAAGGCAGTTTTCCAAAAAATGACTTATAAATTCATGCTAAGCAAAAGATGACAGCAAACATGCTGACTCTTGGATAACTGATGCAAAAAAATGTGACCTTTTCCATTAACCTTTAAAATGCTTTTCACATCCATTTTCCTACCCAGACTACTGTCACACCACAAAAACACTAAGAGAATACAACTTACATTGAGTGCAATACGAATGATGTCAGTGTGTGTTATTTTCTCAGCCGATCCCTTCAGTTCTGCTATGCCGTCATCACTGAGGTACCTATGAGATATGACACAAGGAGAAGAGGAAATAATGCTGAGTAAGGTGAGCCAGCAGGAGAGCAAGTCTTTCATGCAGAAGACATTGTTTAAAATATTCTGAAACCCAGTGGGGGTTAAATCTCCAGCTGTTATTGTAAATTATTGACTTTCCTCCTAAATTTACTGATACGAGCAAAAAAAGAGTGATATGATGCACTAATTAGGCAATCAGACTTGAAAAGTAAGAGAAAGTCAACTTTGCGTAGAGTTCAGTTGTGCAGCATCCTCTTATTTAGAAAAGTCTTACAATTTAATTTTACATGGTTACAACACTAAATGCAGCTTTATTTTGCTAAATTAAAAGACTTAAGAACTTTATAACGTTTCACAAAATAACTAAAGAGGGCAAAGTCTACAAGTTTCATAGATCCACTAAAGCATAAACAGATTTTTTTCTCTAGTGCATACATTTAATGTATCACTTTAATTACGTTAAAACTCAAATAAAAAAAATAGTCAATACAATTAAAAGTCCTGCACAAAACGCTCAGGTAAAACAACATAAACAAAAGCACACTGCAGAGAACATAATGTAAACAAACACTCTGGTTCAATCTGATCAATATTTTGGAGTTAGAACTTTTTGTAGTCTAATATTGATTACATTTTGCATTATTATTATTATTATTATCAGCAACATTACAAAAGTAACACCGACTGTGAAATTAAGCGAAGCCAAACATTTCTGCAACTGGGAATTTTATTAGTGTTGTTTGTTGTAAAAGGTGTTAAATATGCACCTGCGTCTGAAATGGTTCAAAACACATTTGTCTCTCAGATGTACTCCCGCAGAATTTCACTACAACATGAAACTGATATATTCATGCTAAATGAATGCATTTCTGAGGGAAATAAATACATTTTGACCAACCACAACATATCAATTTAATAAAACTGTAATTGCCTCGTTGGATTGTTGAAATTTCTAAAAGAATAACCAGAAATTAAAGTCAGCAGCACTGTTAGTCGTCGTTTCAAAAGCACTTGGAAAACGAGCTGTTTGTTCAGGTTTTGAACAAGTGCCATCGGGTATCAGTGACCGAATCTGCACGCTATTACGGATTCTTGTCTGACGCACGAAGTAACGTCTGTCTGCTTTCAAATGCTACGTCTGCTAAGTTAAACCAGCTAGCAGACGTGTGGTTTCTGGTAGTCGTGTAGCTTTCCAACTATGTTGCTACAAGTCGAGCAGTTCCGAGTGTTGCTGTTTATTCTCAAGTATTAAAAAGGGCAACGTGACGACTAATTATTTTATTCAACAGTTAACTGACAGCTCAGACGGCTAGCAGCACCATTGAGCTACCATGCTACCTACCAGCCCTCTTTGATCAGGGACTCTGCTAGATCGGTCATTTTCGTCCAGTCGAAGATGTGTGAATAAACACAATCGTCGGTTTATAAGGGGACCACCTCAAGAACGATTATCTGATGCTACAATGCATATTATCCTGCAAACAAAGCTCGTTAATGGGAACTCTGAATGACCCAACCGTAATTACGTCACCAACTGAGACGCATTGTACGAGTACGGCGTGCCGAGAAGGTCAAAATACATTTAATTTCCACACAATCGATTTTACTGTAATTCTAATGGTTAAAAGTGCTTTATAATCAACAAAAATACAAACACATCCATAAAGACAATTATTTTAAAAGTAACAATTGACAAATATTTTTTATTTCCATCCTGACGCGTTGGTACAGCATCCATATGAAATGACATATGAACTCAATTAAAAAGATTAAAATCCTACATAATTTATCTATCTATCTATCATCTATCTATCTATCTATCTATCTATCTATCTATCTATCTATCTATCTATCTATCTATCGATCGATCGATCGATAGGGCAACTGGACTTTCTCTAATATATATATATATTGCAAAAGTATGCAGCCCTGAAAGAGGCTTTGCAGTAATAGTAATGACTATAGTAACTTAAGGGAAATGTATTTATAATTATTGCTTGACTGAAGTTTATTTTTATAAGCAGTTGAAATAGGCTGCATATTGCAGTTTTCTCCATTGGTTTGGCTCATTTCTTGAAACAAAAATTTCATTCTCAAACCTCTAAAATCATTTGGCAAAACACTCTTACAGTTTAGCACAACACCTGCAAAAGATCATATCTCTTTCAAAACTGTTCACTCAGGCTTCAATCTAAACCCCTTTCTCATTTAACCCTCCCACTGTATTTATGGGTGACCCTGCGAGGAAAGTTGACCATAGAGCAGGATTGATGGTTTATCCCTTGAGGTCCATGTGGCAGGGGTGAGGTGGTGCTCACTCCTCACCCCTGCCACATGGACCCAAGGGATAAACCATCAACCCTGCCCAATGGTTAACTTTCCTCGCGGGGTCACACCCATTAGGACAGTGGGAGGGTTAAACAGTGTCTCCAAAATGGCAAAGATCCCTCTCAATAGCTTTGGCTCATTTCTCGACACAAATCGGACATTCTCATCCTTCTTGGTGCTTTTGTCAAAATAAACATGGATAGTTGATCATAACAGCGTGGTTTACCTGCAAAAGCTCATATCTCCCCTAAAACAGCTCACTCGTGTGTCAAAACTACATTTCTTTCTAATCTGAATAGTCAGTGTCCCCAAAATGCCATTCTGTTGTGAACATTTGCCAAAAGGTTTGGAGGTTTGTCCATGTTATTTTGAGAATGTAATTTCTGTTTCAAGAAATGAGCCAAACCAGTGGAGAAAAACTGTAATGTAAAAGTGGTGACTGAAGGAAGACACTGACAATCTTTATTAAAAATAAATTAAAACGCACATCAAACAGAGTCTGTGTCAAAGTTAATTGTTGCACTTAGAGATGTGATTTGATTGACATTTCATTTGTGTTTTTTCTCTTTCAACTGAGAGGAGCTCAACAGCCTAACAGACAGTGGAACAGATGAGGTCTGAGTCATTCTGTTGGATGTTGCTGCAGGAGGCAGTTACTGACCATTTTTGTCTGCCTGATGATAGTGTTGAGCAGAAGATGCTGGGTGCGGCCCATTACAGCCACCAGTTTCTTCATGCTTCTCTCCTCTCCGTGTCCACCACCAAACCAGCTTTTCTCATCAGTCTGTCCAGTGTTGCAAAGAATCCACAGTCGTTTTACTCAGATCCACTTATACTGAAATCCAAAATGATCTCCATGCCAGAATGTAGACATATCCACAGTACAGTTTAACATGGCACCTGTCATAGACAATTACTGTTGCCAAACAGCTTGGCATATTAAAATACTGTAGCTACAAATAAAAGAAGCACAGCACTAAATGAGAAGTCCATAGGATGCATAACTATTTATAATATTAGTGATCACCAACTAGAATATTTGTTTAAAAATAAACATTTTGTGCTTAAATCAGGGGCCCTAATTAAAATTTCATGCTGCACAAATATTGTTGAGATATTTAAAGCAGAACAAGAGAAACAAGAGAATCATTAGTAGCAAACCTTTCTTCTCCTTCATTTAGCATCAGAAAGTTTATTATTTGTGTCATAAACTTCATGTCGCATTTCCACAGAGGAGTTTCAGCTGCAGAATAATAACAGGAAAGGAATTGGACTAAATATTTGTTCAATAATCATGATAAATGAGAAATGACATAAACTTGTCTAGTACCTTTCAGAGTCAGATGACTCCAAAGTGCTTTACACTACAGTGCATCATTCATCCATTCACACACTGGCAGGGATGAGCTACGATGTAGCCACAGCTGCCCTGGGGCTCACTGATGGAGGTGAGGCTGCCAAGCACAGGCACCACCGGTCCCTCAGACCACCAGCAGGCGAGGTGGGTTAGGTGTCTTGCCCAAGGACACAACAGCAGAATTCTCCGTCCGAAGCTGAGCCCAGGGACCCAGACCCCACCAGGCAGCCACCGGGATTGGTCAGGCAGATGCCAAAAATCTTAAACTCCCTGACCCGGGAGCCACGACCCAGGCAGACCAAGGCACCGCACTCCACACCAGGTGTGGCAGGGAGAGGGGAGACAAAGATCTTCCGACAACCTTCCGATTACTGAACAACCCGTTCAACTTGTTGAGCTACTGCTGCCCCATGTCCTATTGTGTTAACTAGGTTTATATTGATGATCTGTAATTGATTTTGCTGTGTTTTATTTTCTAATTTGTATTGTTGTGCACCTAAATACATGTTCACTAGAACTCATAGTCCTGGTATTAATTCCACAGCCCCACCAGCAAACCTCTAATATTTATGACTGTGTCATAGTGCTTATAATTAATTCAGTGGGACTTCCAGCAGCAACACGCATGAAAGTGAGATTGATTGATTGATTGACTGATTGATTGATTGATTGATTGATTGATTGATTGATTGATTGATTGATTGATTGATTGATTGATTGATTGGAAGCGAGACAATAAATGTATTTTTAAAAGTTGCAAAGTTAAAAGAAGTATTTCTATTCAATTTATTTATGTAGTGCAAAATCACGGCAACAGTCATGGCATGAAGTAAAACATTCCAGTAAAGTTCAGTTTATTAAGCCAACTAGTTTAAATGTCTTTTAAGGAACCCAGCAGATAGCATCGAGTCACTGACTAGTGTCAGTGGCTTTTACAGCCAGTAAATCCTGCTTTTGGATGAAGGATAATATAATTGTGACGTGATCAGTTTTAATTAGAGACATTGAGAAAGCTTTTAGTTAAATATGAAAATCTAAATAATATTATTTTTGTTTAAGAGAATATATTCTAGCAGAAGCAGTTAAAATTTGAAGGTATTGTCCATGCTAATGGCAAAAACTCAAATAAAAATACCAGTCCTGTAATCTGGTGGTGATGTATTACCAAGGTCCACATGATGGCAGTATTTGCTCACTTAGAACGGTTCTTATTCTGAACCCGAGCATCAGTAAAGGACCACACAGGTAATGAAGCTCCGTGATGAGCATGACGTTTCCTTAATTAGGCCAGAGACTTTCTCTTTGTTTTTCAAAACCAAACAAAGCTTTCCAGTTTGTTTGTTTTGTATAACTAACAAAGCTTTGATATGAGGATGAACTGTTTTGTACCGGATACAACCACAGACACAAAAGGCCATATCATATTAGAACACAATCGATTATGAAAATGTGTAAAATACCCTTTGTAATTGGTCTACAACGTTATATCATTTATAAGTTAATATCCAAAATATTAATTTAAGGCAATAAGGACTGTGTTTTTATCCATCCATTCATCCAACCATCCATCCATCCATCCATCCATTCACCCTCTTTCGCTCATCCGAGGTCGGGTCATGGAACTGATGGGCCCAGGTGGGAAGCCCAGGCATCCCTTTACCAAGGGACACTCCCCACCTACACTCCTCTGGTCCCCCAGGCTCTCCCAGACCAGAGAGGATACAGAGTCTTGCCAGTGATTTCTGTGGGACATGCCTAGAAAACCTCCAGAGGGAGGCGACCAGGAAGTATCCTATTAGATGCCTGAGCCAAATTGATGGACCCTTTTCAAAGCAGAGGAGCAGTGGCTCTACTCCAAGCTCCCCCAAGATGACAGTGCAAATTTGGGCCACTTGTTGGGATTTTCTTCTTTCGGTTATGATCCACATCTCAAGGCCGTAGGTGCCCAGTACACGGACCAATAAATTGAGATCTTTGCTTCCAACTTTTCAGCTCCCTCTTCACCAGAAGAGACCAGTGAAACACCCTCATTGAAGAGGATGAAGCTTGGATTCATTGATCCACCACTTTATTCTATCATCAGCTTCAGATTAAGACACCAAAATATTTGAACTCCTGCACCTGGGACAAAGACTTGTTCACGACCTAGAGGGAACTTTCCACCTTTTCCCAGTCAAGAACTACAGTGAGATGCAAAAGTTTGGATAGACTTGTTAATCTTGATCAGTTTCCTGTATAAATCGTTGGTTGTTATGACAAAAACACCCAGTTAAATATATCATATATGACACACACACACACACACACACTCACACACACACACACACACACACACACACACACACACACACACACACACACACACATTGATATTTAAGGAGTGAAAGAAAGTTTATAAGATTTACAAAAAGGGTGAAATATTTCTTTGAACAAAATTAGGCAGGTGCATAAATGTGGGCACTGTCGTCATTTTGTTGATTCCAAAACCTTTAGAATTAATTATTGGAACTCTAAATTGGTTTGGTAAGCTCAGTGACCTTTGACCTCCATGGAAAGGTGCATCCAATTATAGGAAAGATTATTTAAGGGGGCCAATTGTAAGTTTCCATCCTCTTTGAATATTCTCTGAAGAGTAGCAACATGAGGGTCTGAAAACAACTCTCACATGAGCTGAAAACAAAGATTGTTCACCATCATGGTTTATGGGAAGGATACAGAAGGCTGTCTCAGAGATTTCAGCTGTATGCTTCCACAGTTAGGAACATATGAGGAAATGGAAGACCGCAGGCACAGTTCATGTTAAGGCTCCAAGTGGCAGACCAAGAAAAATCTCAGATAAACACAAGTGAAGAATGGTGAGAAGAGTCAGAG